GTCATATGTAACTTCTGTGTGCGTCATATGTAACTTCTGTGTGCGTCGTATGTAACTTCTGTGTGCGTCGTATGTAACTTCTGTGTGCGTCATGCTTGTCCCACTTTTTTCTGCTTTCCTCCCAGTAAAGTGTTCCATGAACTTTGTGTTTCTGTGCGTGGCATTGGGCAGCAGTATTACAGTATGTGTTGTAAAGTTTTCACTGTTCCCCTGGTGTGTGAATAGAAAACAGATGTGGTTACAGTTGGTGACATGTTCAGTAAAATATCGTGAGGAGGCGCGTGTAGGCTGAGTGTATGTCTGGACACATTTTAAATTGTTGTTACGTAAGTGACCAGGACTGACGCATTAATGCGTGCGGCTTCAGTGTCTTTGTTTCTCTCCTGCTGCGTTACTCACATTCAGAGGATAAATATATTTCCTTTACAGATGTTTAGGTGTAGTTCAGCAATAAACATGTACGTTTTAATCTGTGTGCACTTGTATTGGTCTTTACAGAAACTTTAGTTTTCTGCATTTCTAAGTATTGTTTATAAAACGTCTTATTGTAAGACCCTGAATGTTAAATTTTTTTAACAGCACTAATAGAAGTAAAGCCAGCTGTGGCTGCTGTGATGCTCTGATGTAAGTGAAATGGGATCTTGAATGCATCCAGATGTTGAGGGAGAAAGAACGGACTGCGCGACACACCACAACACTCTGCACTTTAAACCGTTAAAACAACTGGTATTTTTAAGCTCAGCAGCTGCTGCACGCTCAGTGATGTCCTCCCATCGTGTCTTGCGTTGTTTACTTACTTTCTTTTTTATTCTCCTCCTACAACAGCTTTACATGTGATTGCTAAAACAATGAAGCTGAGAATGCGTAAGGCGTCTCAGCACCAAAGTCCCGCTCTGACGAGCCGCACGTCCCGAACCAAGAGGAGACTTTCAGAAGTAGAGGAAGATCCTCCTCCCAGTGAAGAGAGCGGATTGTTTTCCACTATCAAGAATTTCATCAGAGGAAATGCTGTGAAGGTAACTACCTTCTTGACCCAGTTTAACACAAATATGGCTGCAGTGCTTCTTCGTGGAGCGTTAAAAGTTGTCCCGCTCCTTGTTTCTGTATTGAACAATGTGCTCTTTGGGTTCCTTCTTGCACGCTGGGGTTCTTGTTGTCGAGTGTCGTGTTTCCCAAGAAATGTCTGGTGGAATGCAGCAGCTTGTCCGAGAACTCGGGTTCTGGTCTAAATTTAGCTTTTAGCTCACAAAGTTGGCGTGCGGGGACAGAAGGTTGTAACGAGTGGAAAAGTGAACTCAGCTCCAAGTGTTTCTATAGAAAGACGAGGATTTTTGTAGCTTTACATAGTTTTTCTTTTTAAGTAGTTCTACCGGCCGATGCAGCATTCTGCCTTTTCCAGGCTGCATCTGAAAAGCTCAACAGCAGAACTTCACTGGATTACTCTTTTAACTACATCACTTCTAATAATATATTGAACCCAAAGTTAGAAAAGTGTCACCTATAGATTTTATAACGATAGCCATGTTTTATGAATGTTACCTGTTTTAAATGCACACAGCAAGAGGAAAAAAGTCCTAAAGTAATCAAAAGGTAATTTGTGTATAAAATTATAGGTACATGTTCCTGTCATGCTGTAATTTATGTTGCAGTGTAGTTGTCAGTGTAAACAGGGAAAATGAGCATTTTTATTTTTATAATGCAGAAAAGTCTTCGTGTTCCGGTGAGGATAATTACAGAAAGTTACAAAACAAAATGTCTTTAGGTTTGTTGTAGAGATCAGAAAACCTGTATTTATTTTACCTGAAGTCGCCTAAATCTGCTGGACTGCTTGTAGTTGTTTTACAGCTGTTTCTGCCTGTCAGTTCCAACAGGAGAGCCCAGCTAAGAAGAGCCGCCTCTACTGCGATGTGGACAATAACCTCATAACCTCCACTCCCACAAACACCAACGCCCCTCGCAGGGCCGTGAGCAGAGAGGGCAAAAAAGACTCCATCAATGGACGTGAGTTACTTGTAAACGAATAAAAACGTGCTAAACCTTAGCATTCTTTTCCCACTTGTCCACCGTTAACTGTCGGTTGGTTCTCCTCTGCAGAATCTACCAATCATGACAGGAATAAGGATAAACCCAATGGTGGTTTGGAGGAGACCACTGCTATGGAGATGCCCAGCAGCCCTCCAAGAACCACCCTACTTGGGACCATCTTCTCTCCTGTTTTTAATTTCTTTTCACCAGCTAAAAGTAAGCAGATGCTGTTTTGGATTATAGTGTAGTCCTTGCAGATCTACAGTCCTTATTTATTTCTGCAAACTGCCTTGTTTAGTTTTATTGATCTTTACTCGATACTGACTTGGACTTGACAACGTTCCAAGTGGCAGAAGCAGTTATTTCTTGTCTTAAAGTCAGTTTTATTGTTGATTGATTGAATTCTTTGAAATATGTAGTTTTCCTAAATTGAAAATTGTACAAATTGTGACGGTCCGTGTTTGTGGCATGGTGAATTTTCTTCACTGTTCTTGTTTCTTAGCCTCTTCGGGCTCAGACTCCCCTGACCAGGCGTTGGAGGCTGAAGAGATCGTAAGACAGCTGGACATTGAGCAAGTGGTGGAGACGCACACCAGCACAGCTACGTCCACACAGGAACTGTGCCCTGGCACCAACTTTTACTCCAGTGTAGCACACCTGCCACCTCTGCGGCCTCTTCACATGCTGGAAGCATCTCCCACAACAGAGGAAGGGGAGCTCGATGCTGATGCTGACCTCCCCCCTCTCACAGGTAGACTCCACAGTTCAGAGAAATTAGTTCTTTTACGTATTTCATGATTTAAAAAAAGCTTCTGCTTCTCCTCCACTTTTTATTCATTGCTCAATGGTTCTTGTCATCCAAGCGCCGGGTGCTAGTCCAGATATGTCGTATGTGGATGTCCCTCCGACCACAGTACCGCCTGAGGCATCCTATGATGAAGACTGGGAGGTTTTTGACCCGTGAGTGAGACTTTACATTACATTTTTTATATTTCAGTTGTTGCACAGTGTTATTGCTGTTGTTGGTGCGTTTAGATGATCTTGGTGTCTCTTAACGGTTGTGATGTTGTAGGGAAATCTACATCACTCCAATAACAGAAGCCAGCTTGTAATGGTAAATGGACTGCACCTATACAGCTCCTTTCCATCTGATCAAGACACTCAAAGCTCTTTACAACAGTCTGCGCCTCATTGACCCGTTCATACAGCTCTATACTAGATCTCTACAAAGCTAATTGAACAACTCGTTCTAAAGAGACTAATCAGAGCTTCATCACATTCACACACCGATGGGACACGCATTGGAAGCAATGAGGGGTTCAGTGTCTTGCCCAGGGACACTTCGACATGTGACTGCTAGTGGATTCGAACCCCCAACTCCTGGATTGGAGGACGACTGCTCTAACGCCACAGCCGCCCCTGTCATGATGAATGTGTGGGATTATCAAAAACAGAAGCCCTTGTGGGAGGATTCCAGTAAATGTACGTTTTCTCCTGAAGTGTGTTGGTCTTTGGTTTCAGGTATTTTTTCATCAAGCACGTCCCCCCCCTGACAGAAGAGCAGCTCACTCGTAAACCAGCCTTGCCACTGAAGACACGCAGCACGCCCGAATTCTCTTTGGTCTTAGACCTGGTGGGTTTAGATTTCTTGTTACTGTTTGGTTGTTTCCATTTGTAAAATAAAACTGTCAAGTTTTGTGTAAAATTCTAAGTCATTTAATTTCTGTTGCACAGGATGAAACACTAGTTCACTGCAGTTTAAATGAGCTGGAGGATGCAGCACTTACCTTCCCTGTCCTCTTTCAAGATGTCATTTACCAGGTGAGCTCTGGAGCCATCTTGTTTCAAAATGCCACTAGAGGGGGACAAAGTGTTTTGTAAAAGAACAGGCGTACTCGGAACCAGGAACCAAACCATTTTCATACACTTGATGTATTTTCTTTCACAGTTTTGACCTCTAGGGAAAAGAGCAGCAATAGTCTCGTGTTGATCTTAATATTTACCAACTAGTCTGTTATGTGCAGGTGTATGTGCGTCTGAGGCCGTTCTTTAGGGAGTTTCTGGAGCGCATGTCTCAAATATACGAGGTAACCATAACTTCACTACGCTGGTCAACCAACATGTTGGTTTAAATATTCAGACCTTTATTGTCTTCTTTTCTCAGATCATCCTTTTTACAGCATCTAAAAAAGTGTATGCAGACAAACTGCTCAACATCTTGGACCCTAAAAAGCAGCTTGTGAGGTACGATTTGTATTTTTGTGTTATCACAGAGGATGAAACTGAAAGAAGTCTCAGGAAGCACCTGTGTGAGCATGCGCTGCTTTCAACGTGCAAGTGGTTTTTTTAGGGGTTCATCGATTGCAGTTTTCTGGTCGATCACTGATTTCTTCAAAAGTCTGACCTGCCGATGCCGATTTAGTTTTATAATCGACACTGTCAGGAGTTCACAACGCACCTTCAATTTTACAACATTATTTTATTGAAAAACGTGCCTTGAACAACATCCTAGAAACAATACAAACTTGTTTTAACAGGCATGAGGTAGAGCTCTGAAATATAAACGAAGTTCAGACAATTGTTGTTAAAACTAAAATCGGTTTCTCGTGTATCGGCCGATTTCACAAAATTAAGGAAATCTGGGCCGATTTATCGGCGCACCCCTAGTTTTTATGAATTATTTGTAGCGATGACGTCATCACTGATTTAGTTTTTCACTGTTGTGCTTCTTTCTTTTTACTCCCGCTGTAATTTTAGACACAGGTTATTCCGTGAACACTGTGTCTGCGTCCAGGGAAACTACATTAAGGACCTCAACATCTTGGGCAGAGATCTATCAAAGACCATCATCATTGACAATTCACCACAAGCCTTTGCCTATCAGGTGAAATGTCTTTTGTCTTATCACCACGGGCAGTTTTGTTTCATAGATACAGGTGTGCACGTGTCTGTCTGTGTGTGTGTGTGTGTGTGTGTGTGTGTGTGTGTGTGTGTGTGTGT